ACTCCACTGAAAAGTTTGTGTTACAAGGAAAAAAAAACTCTTACTATTTTAATATGTGTTTTTTTTAATTTTACATTTTTACATTTATTGTATATATGTTAATAATAATTTTTGTAACTGACAATCAATGAGACAGGTGAGCTTGATGATCCTTAGCGTGATTAGCAACATCTGGTTCAAAATTTGTAAGTTTTAGTCTTAAATTGCTTTGAAGTTCCACATTCAACTTATTTCTGTGTTTAGTTAAGATGGAATTATCATGGCTGATGCCAGCAAAAAAAAGGATTTACCATATCACAAAGATTTGTGTATTTTTGTGTTATATTTATATTCATCCAGAAATTGCTCAAATTTAAATTTTTTTAAAAAGTGTTTTTGCTTCAAGATCAGCTAATAATTCAATAAGTTCATCTTGCAAGTTGATGTAGACGTTTTCGATTTGAGCAAAAAATGGCACCATGATCCATTCTGTGATATCAATATTTTCTAAATCTGCAAAACGCTGTACTATTAAATTCATTGAAACAATATTCAAAAAACATAATAATATGTATAATAATTTTTAGTTTAAATTTTTCTGTCGACCCTCAATAATGTTATATTGATCCCTGAGGGTTGGTATCAACCACTTTGGTGACCCCTGACCTAAACCCTGGCAGATTAAACAACAATATCAATTTATGACTAATATTAAAATTCCCAATCAAAATACAAGTTTGCTTGTATTGTGGTTCTTTTAGAACTTGTCCACATTTCAAAAATAATATTTTCTTTGCATTCAATGTTGCAATTCACATACAAGAATTTCAATAAGAGCTTTAAATTTCTGATTAAATTATGGAAATTAACTTTTCTAAAAGATTTCCATGTATGGAATTTTACTCAAAATGTAATAGTTATACAAAATTATCCGCCTTTTGGTATGAGAAAGCCAATTTGAAAGTAATCAACAAGAGACCATGTTTCTCACTTCTTTCAGCAAGTTATCTCAACAAATCAGCCTTTCCTAGCTATAAAGTAAATCTCATTTATAATCTAAAGTTGGCATGTATGATATGTATACATTAAAAATTTCAGGTGTTAAAATCATAATATATATCTATCTATTTGAAAAAAAATTATTTAAATATTTTAATGCAAATTTTAAAAATATACCATTTAGTTGAGATATTTTTATTACAAAAATAATGAATGATATGAATATTAAATTTAATTATTTATGAGACATTGTAAATGAAGGAAAAATTTAATCTATAACAGTAATTATAGTAATATTTATTGAAAGAATCAAGAATAGTGAAAATCAATAAAAACATTAATTGAAGATATATTGCATTGTGTATGTGAAATTTTTAAAAAAAGAAAGTTTTATAGTTTTTACAATTTTAATAATAATAATAGATTTCAGAAAATCTTGTTTTACAAGTAAGAACAATGATCTGTCTGAAAACATTTGTCATACAATGTAATTATAATTTTATAAATAAATATCAGACAGAGTTAATTTAAATATTAATTTTGTTTTAATTGTAAATTGTTTACAATTAATTTATTCTAGATTTTCAATGTATTTGTTCAAATATGTTATAAATATAGGTGATAAATCACTTTTATAACAGTTTGTGTTATGTAGCTAGATATCTTCACAGATTAACTATCATTCATTTTATTTACTTGTTTATTTCCATGAATTTTTTTAATTCCATATTGTCATGTTTTCATATATGAAATGATAATTCTTATTATATATGATGACATTTTTGAACTATTTCAACTACAATATTAACAGGTCCACTCTCCGGTTTGTTTGATGCCTTGTTGACCCTGTCTCTAATTGGCTGCCTTGTCAAATATTAAAAAATTAATTTTTAAAAGAATTTTAGTTTAAATTATTGATTTTAAATTTTGTTTTCATTTAATTTAATGAATACATAAACTTGGTGATAAAGATTATCATCCACATCATCAGCACATGATATTAACATGATCACTTATAAAACCATTCTGAAATATATTAAACAATTATTCACGTATTCTAAATTAATTATGGTGTGTAGATGACAAAAAAGAATGTTTTTGAACTCCTTCCGATTCCTTCATCAGGTTTTTTAACGATTCTTCAATGGATCTTCATTTTGGAATAAAATTCGAACATGAGTTCGAATATAAGACCAAAGATCCATCAAGGGATTGTTAAGAAAAAAAAACCTGATGAAGGAATCAGAAGGAGTTCAAAAACAGTTTTTTTGTTTGTTTAAACTAAAAGATATTTTATGCATAAAAATATCTTTTAGTTTATCTGCTAAAATTTATTTTTCAGAAATTTTTTTAAATATTTAGCTTTTTTATTCAATGATTTGCATTTCAAAAATTATTAAACAAGATTGACAATTAAGAGTTTTCTAGTATTTATCAATCAGGAGAACAAGTTTTTTATTTAAAAAAAATAGAATAAATTTATGGTTGCTGTAACGTTTTCAGTCAATTAATTGACCGAAAAAATTAGATGCTGTAATAAAATAGACTGCATTTTAAGGTTTGTAATGTTTAGTTATATTATGTTAATAGATCAACTTACTCAAATCTTTTATTTCTGTTGTCATTTATAATAGTTTTTGTATTTCTTTTTAAAATGGTTTTTAATTTCCTTTGGTTTTTTTTTTCAAAATGAATAATGGTAATATGAAGAATAAAATTATTCTATATAGTTTAAAGATTTCTTTTATGTAAAAAAATATTTGTATTCACCAATGTTTGTTTATACATTTTGTTATAAAAACATTTAGTTTAATTGTAAACTTTATTGAAATGTTTTTAAAATCTGAATTTTGTTGTGAATTATTTTAGATGTGTTCTGTATGAAACTGAAAAATGGCTAAAAGAATAGTCAAAAATAAGAATTTGGATGATAAAGTTTTATTGTAATCAAGTGTATTTTTGCAATATGTTATTATTCAGGTACTGTACATGCATTCAATTCAATTAACGTAGTTTAAAAATGGCCATTTCAAACTATTTCATAATTACCAATGTATATTTATCATAAATAATAATAAATCATGTTGTAAAGTAAACATGATATTTACAAATTAGATTTTAATAATTTTGTAACACGTAAAAAGAAAGATAATGTCATAGTAATAGTTAACTGAATAAATAAAATTTGAAGAAAAAATTTGCAGTATTGTTTTTTTTTGTTATGTATACTTTACTATGTATACTTTGTTACGTATATGTTTACTTTAACTTTTTTAAATCATTTAAACTAAAAATGTAAAAAAATAAAGTCTTGTAAATTTACAAGAGTTTATTTTTAAACTTATAAACAAAACTTGGCTACTTCAAAAATAAAAGTTTATTAATTAAAATTTTCAAAATGATTTTGAATAGCAAACATATTTTTATCTAAATTATTATTTTTTTTAAATATTTTTTTTGCATAAACAAACGTTTGAAAGTAATTCTTTTCACAACATAGTCAAAGTATCCAATGTTTTATGCATTATATTTGTACATGTACACATGTATAAAATGCATAAATTCATGATAACACTTGCTTTAAAATAAGGTTCAAATAATATAAATTTACCAGATTTTATGTATACTTTCAATTACAGCTATTGAAAAAAATGTGTCATTATCTTACAATCTGTTATCTTAATTGTTTATCCCATTGATTTCAACTAGGGAATGCCATGATGATTCTAGGAGTGCTGCAAAATATAGTGCTGAGCAGCATCATAACACTTCCAGACCATTGATTTGGGGAAGGCTAAGGATTTTTCTCTGGGCCCAGAGAAAACTTGGAGGCCCTATTCCTTCACTTATAAATTAATGTTGTTTTTACTAACAAATGTTGAAATTTTTAAGGCTATGTTTTTATTAACAACAGTAAGAAACATTCAACATATTTCATTTGTATAAAGAAAAAGAGGTATGCTAAGGGACATAACTAATGAAGCTCCCTTTACCCCCAGGTCACACCATTTCAATCACTTATAGTCCTGAACACTTATGTATATTGCTAAAAGTACAAAAAGTCCAAAAACTATACATTGATAAGGAAGTGTGAGTGCTGCAAGAGAAAAATTAACAAGTTGATGATATCACCATTAGAAAAAGGTTTACTATATATACATGTAATAATAATTAATAAAACATTGTGATATATACTGTATATATATATATATATAAGGTTTATTAGTAAAAGGTGCTGAGAATATCAAATTAGCAAAGATGTTTGAATGATAGCCATATGTATGTGTAGTCAGTGAAAATACTTAATCGTATGTTGTATATGAGAGAGAGACAAATGCTTAAAATAATGAAGAAATCGAGATAGTTCATTCATAGGTAAATGTTTTTAGAACTGTTTTCATTATTATGTAACTGAATGGTATTTATGATTTGGTGATGGAACAAAAGAATTGTAAAAATATCTATCCTTGAAAAAACTCTGATTCTTTGTATTAAAGTATTTACTGTATGTATTTGTTATTTAAGGAATTGACTGTAAGGATATAATTTGATACTGTATAAAAATTGAATAACAGATAAAAACAGTTAAGATAAAATCATTAATGTTCTCTGTATTCAAGATGATACATTGGGTTTATGAATTTGACCATTCTTTAATTTGCTCTAATTCTATTTCATTGGAATCAAAAATTGATTATTGAAGAAACCAAAATAAAAAATAGAATATGTATAATATTTTGTTTCTAAAAAGTTTCAATTTAAATAATTGAATTACAGTTCTTGATGATGCCATGTTTAAATTAGTTAAAATATTCAAAGAAACAGCTTTGATGTTCAATACACAATTAAGGAGAGATCCAAAAATATTTGTCCATTAAATAAAACTTGATTTCTGAAACATCAAAGCCATTTGTTTGTGTTTTAACTAATAATTGGAGAAATTTTAGTTTTTTTTATAATAATCTGACTTTATAAATTAAAGTACTTATCTCTTCATACAAATTTTTAATTTTTTTTCTTAGGCTCGAGCATGTATTTGTCAAACTTGTCGAAGTCATGCACCAAGATTGCATGCATGTCTTCATTGTGTATACTTTGGTTGTTATGGTGCTAAACATATTCACGAACATGCACGGAACAAAAAACATTTTCTTGGTAAGTATTTACTATATTTAGAACATCAATATAGCAGAATGAGAAAATACTTGGTTTTAATTTCTCTAACAATATAAAAATAAATTATTTGTGTTATTCAATGACTAAATAATTTAAGTTTAAAGTAAAAAAATTATTGTAGTATAAGCATATGGAAGAATAAAATTATTCTATATAGTTTAAAGATTTCTTTTATGTAAAAAAATATTTGTATTCACCAATGTTTGTTTATACATTTTGTTATAAAAACATTTAGTTTAATTGTAAACTTTANTTATAATTTATATGCTTAGGAAATTGATATATAATTTATATCAATTTCCTAAGCATATATAATTGATATTAGATTGATATTTTTATCTTATGTCAAAATCACTTTAGTTCCAAAATCTTCAAATATAATCTCTCTGTATAATTCATATGAATTAAATTTATTTTAATTTTTACTAATGTAATGCTACTCAATGAAGTATGGTGTATAATAATTATTGGCTTATAACGTCAAATGAATGAATATGCAGAAATATCTAATACACCAGACTCATGCTAATCTGCTATTCTCTATACAGTGGTGTGCCAGATTAGTCAGTGTTGGATTACTGATAAAGCAATGAATGATGTGACCTAAAGGCAATGAATGGCATGACCTGTCACCCTTCAGTACTGAGTCTTTTTGGAGATAGATGGTCAAATATGGTGTGCTGACATGCAATACTGTATACAGAAATGAATCTGAATCCCAGGAAAACAGAATGCATGATATGATTAACATTTTCAAGTGAATAGAAGCACATCGGTGATCACACTAGGAATTGCTGAATAATTGAGAGACCGGATTATTAAGAACTGGATTGGGAAGACAATACTGTACTTTATATTCATTGTTCATCTCATAATGAAATTAAACTACAAGCTAATAATTACATGTCATTCATTCTTTAGAATTTTTAAGATTATTCATCAAAATATTTGAATTTTTTAATGAATTTTTTTAGTTTGTTTTTTATTTGAATTAAAATTATATAGAGAATTTCAATCTCTATATAGAGAATTAATAAAATAAAATAATTATAAAAAGGTAGGCAGATTAATAAATAAGGTAACAAATGAATTTATGGACATACTTTTATTTGTAGAAAAATGTAACTATAACCTGAAGATAGATGCATACTCACACTACTTCTCCACATAGTCTCCATATTTATGCAAGCATTTAATCACCTACAGATTAATGCATTCATTCTAGCAAAGAAGAAAGTTGTGTTGAGCAACTCCAGCCAGTTAAAAACAGTGTAGCAGGTCTTCTTCAATTTCAGATCTTTGTCCATTGAGTTGGTCTTTTGTTGGCTCAAACAGTTAATAATTGCTGAAAGACTGGTTCAGGTTGTGGATAGGATGTTCCAAAACCTCTCTACAAAAATCTTCAATTTAGCAACAGGTGATGTCAATATGGGGTTCACATTCATGTAACAAAATTATTCCTTTTGAATTGTCCCAGGTCTTTTGTGACAGATAGCCTCTTACAGTCTGTCCAGTCTCAGAATATCTCCAGATTATTCAAAAGTATCTGCAAATAGATCTAGCTTTAGAACATCTATGCTGTTATGTAGAACAGGGAAAAAATCTTTTTAATTCCATTTTCACAGCAGATGAAACTTGGGTTTAACACTTCCAATCTGAAATCAAGAACATTAAGAATGATATGGAAGCATCTGGCATTCCCTTTCAACAAGAAGTTCAAAATGTCAGCAAGTGCTGGAATAGTTTTGGCAACTGAATTTTGGGGCATTCATGAGTATCTATATAAAGACTTCTCATCAAAGGAGATGACAATAAATGCCAATGCCAATGCTTTCTTATTAGGATATATTTGCTTATTTGAAGGAGGCCATTCATCACAAGAAGTTATTTATTCTGTTTCATAGTGTTGTTCTTCTTCATGACAATTCACAATGCTGCCAAAGACAGTTGCATTGCTGCAGAAGTGAAAATGGGAGGTTTTAGCCCATTCTTCTTATAAACTCAATTTGATCCCTTCAGATTTCCATATTTTTCTCACAACTCAAGAAGCATCTCTGAGGGATATGTTACTGCTCAAATTATGGGGTGCAACTTGAAATATACAAATGGCTATACAAATAATCAGGACAAAGTGTTTTTCACATGGACACAGAACAGCTGGTAGTATGCTGGGATAAATGTGTCTACAAGTATGGTGACTATATTTAAAAATAGAGGAAAATTAGCGATTTTGAAAGATTCCTGCTATTTAATTGTACTTTGTTTTCATGTCAATAAATAAAAAATTAGAAAAGTTATTCGTGGTATTGGTTTCATATAGAAAATAGAATAAAAAGTTAAACTTTCGCTGTATTATCGTACATTTATTTCTACCAGTGTACGATACGTAAGAGTAAAAAATAAACGGATGTTTTCAAGCAACAAGACAATGACAAGACGAAAAAACAGGCCTCTTTTTTCACTTTGAAATGTAATTTTAGTTTATCTAATTAATGGGTTGCTACAGCAGTTTAGTAGTAAGAAATTTTACTCCCATTGAATGAATTCAAGTTTTTATCATAATAACTATGCAATATTACAATTTTAATATTAATATGGAAATTTATATATTTAGTTATTACATTGAATCGGAAAAACTGTTTGTTATGTAATCTTAATTATGAAGAATTTTAAAGAAGAAAACAGTATATATGATATACAATTCAGAAAATTATTATCGTGTTATCAGCAATTATTTCTAATTAATTAATAAAAATATAGTAGTCCTTTGTTTTATGGCGCAGGTCGGGAGACAAACCAAATGAGTGATATTTCAGATGGCGCGATATAAGCGATGTATGTATTATGTATCCAGCTGTTTTTTTCTATTTTCATTTTTCATACCTACTACTTTTTCTTGATGGTTATATTTCATATAATGACAGTTCAAGGTCAATGATTGGATGCCAATAAAACTTCAATGGCAACCGAGTTTTTAAAAATTATTGACTAAAGTTCTTTTAAATTAACGTGGCCATTCCTCATTTGTGTTTTCGTTTACACAATTTTTAATATTGTTTCATACTGCTTGAGAAAATAAATTTTTGTGTAATTATTTCTATCGTCAATAATCGATAAAAATTCAGATACTAATTATTTGTGTGTGTATATTGCTTTCATCCTTCAGATGGTCTACATACACTATATCAACGTGGATAAGATTGAGAATTTTACTTTCACATTTTTAATGTAACTGTGCTCTGTAGCGCAGATTTTTGTTTCGGCTCCATACAAAATCACAAATGTGGTGACGTTCTGTTTAAAGCAGTTTAATACCCGCGTGTACGGTGGGAACATCCTCATAGAAAAAAACGTTGAGAAACGTTTAAAACGCCCATAAGTGAATCCGGTAGCCTACAAATTCCAGCACCGGTTAATGTAAATTTTTCTAAAAGATTTTGTTTTCGAAAATCTATAACGAAAAAATGATATTTTTATTACGACATTAAATTTAATTGTTAGGTTAATGTAGAAAGTTTCCTGGAGTCAAACCAAGCATATTTTCATTTTGAAGTTATTTTGTTATTATTTTGATCACTCAAAATTTTATCATAAAACGTATCGCATTGTAAGTTGCTTTATGCCTGTAATTAGCATTTCTTTCGTGACTTATTTTCGACTTTTCTTTTGACCACAGTTAATTTTACGAGTAAATATATTTGTTACAGAAAACCAGTTCCCGAAAAACAAAGGACTAATCTTATCAAATTGTTAAAATCTTGGAATTCAAAATTCTTTTCGTGCATTTCATTAGATATTTTGGTCCATCTGTCAGCTATATTGATTTTTTCGTCTTTCAATTTCTTTAAGTGTTTGGTTATTTTTGTTTTTATTAGCGCCCATTGATTGAATTTCATCTGTTTCTATTTATGTAATATTTTCCTTAAATTCGTTGAAATTATTCTGTGAGTTACATTTCATGCTTTTTATTCCTCATTAGTATCCATTTCAGATTTATGACCCTTATNGGGGATAACGGAATGTCCTCTTGAGTAAGATTTGACTGTGATCTCATAATCACAGTCTCTTGTGAATCTTCTAATTTTTCAAGGTCTTCTTCAGTTTTTATCGAATGTCAAACAATTCTCCGGCATGGACAAACTTTTTCAAACTTTTCTCGCGCATCTGACAACGGCTCAATGAGTTTTTCACAGCCTCGTTCAGTCAACACATCACACCTTTGAATTATTTGATAATCTGGAGATGATTTTTTCTTCTTGGAAACTTTTATTTGCTTTACATCTTTAATTAAAAAATCATACTTTGGTTTGTTATTAAAACACTACGTATTATATTTTAAATCTTCGCTGAAGAGGTTTGTGAAAAATCTTTTCTTGATTTTACTCACCAATTCGATGCTTGCTGGCATTCTAGGATTTAAATTTATCTACGTAAAAATAAGAAGTGGGGAAAGGAAGTGAACGAAACAAACTTTTGAACTTTAACGATACGGAAGCCGTTAATGTGCAGATTACCTAGATACTCTGCGAATTACCTAGGTAATTTGAGAAATTGAACAATTTTCGCAGCTTTAACAGATTACCCTAGTTAATCTGCAGATTAGCTAGGTAATGTACACATTAAAGGATTTCAAGCTTTAGCGGTAACATATACATATATATATATATATATATATATACACTAGCTGTTACCCGCAACTTTGCCTGTGGAGGTTTTACAAGCAAACCCCATTCATATTCAGTATTTCAATAACCATAGTAATTGTTATATTGTATAACACCTACTACTGAGAATAATGAGAATTGCTGAGAATCAAACAAACTGTTTTCAATTTGATCAATTTTCTGGAACATTTACAATCGTTCTATAATCGAACCAATATGCAATAACAAATGGTTCAAACATTTGGTTAAAAAATCGAAATATATAAAAATATTTATAACAATATCTGAAATGTTATCAATTTAATACACCTAAGTACTCAATGAAGACTAAACATAGTTGAAAACAAAAAATTGCATCTAAAATAGTACAGTAGAAGCTGTTCTTCCGGTTAAGCCTTAATGTGTCCTGTGTTGTTCCCGAAAATATTCATGTTGACCTCCTTGACCTGCGTGGGCAATCCCGAATATTTTCGTGTCTACATCGGAACGTTTTTGATACTAGATGTTGCTATGCATCACAATTTTTATATTAAAAGAAACTTTTGAAATATAATTTTTTTTTGTTTCTATATTTTTCAATATATTTATTTTGTTTGTGCAACATAAAAACAATAATTTTTAACGACACAGTAAACACAATTATTATTTAAAAAAAAAATTTTTTTAGGCTTAACATCGACAAAAGTTCAACATGGCATCACAGGCAACAGATAAAAATTTCAACATCAGATAGGTTAATGCTTTCCCTCTCCCCCGCAGGGAAATTTCAAAAAATCCCTTCTTAGTGTGTGTTTTCATGACATACCCTAACTGTGTACCAAATTTCACCTCTTTAGGTTCAGCGGTTTGCTCTGGGCAATGATGAATCAGTAACTCAGTCAGTCAGGACAAGTAATTTTTTATATTTAGATATGTAGAAACAATAATTGTTTTTACAAAATGTGTTATATATCAGGCTATATGAAAGGATATTTTTAAATTTCTGGAGATATCATCTCCCTGACTCCTGAAAGAAACCTGTATCCATCTCAATTTGATTATTGATTATTGCATTTTTTCTACTTCAAATAAGTAGATTTCAAATTATGATTACTATTACTATAGAATTACCAATTATATAGTTCTATATAAACATTGAAATCCACTAAATCCATAATTTTTCATTTTTGTTAGAGAAAGAGCATTTTCTTATGATGTATTAGTACGTAATAGTAATTACACATATGTTTATTCCTAAACATTAAAGTTGTTAACATGGTTTAATGAAATTAAACTGTTTTTCAGATAAAAATTTTAAATTCATAAAATGGTTTAGGAATCCAATATATATCAACTTCAGTCATAACTAACTTATAACCAAAATGTCCAGCATTTTTATATAAATTTACGAGAGAAATTTAAAAAATGTATAATTTTAAATTATTTTTTATATACAGGGTGTTATGAATAAAGTGAACCAGTTCTATAAATTGGGAATGACTAAAAGTAAGAGTAATTCTTTTGAAGACAAAGTCCTTTCCAAAAAAATATAGGAACCACCATTTATTAACTTTGTGTTCCAGACAACACTTTTGGCGACTGACCGCTTACTGTTTGTTTTATTTTTCGGTTTTGTTTGTAGATACTTGAAAAAGGCCTATTTGGCCACAGTGTCTTTTTGATAAATAAAATAAAATATATATATATATGAGGGGGACCCCAAAAAAACCAAACTGAGAGCGTGCTGCCATATGTAGACGTAGTAGAGAGTTCTCCTGTTACATGGGGTTAGTAGAGACCTTCACAAAACAGCTGTGCAAACGGCATCAGTTTGTAGGTTTACATTTGAACGTAATGTTATGTTTCTCTTACTGTTATTTTGTTCCGCCTGCAAAGTTCTGGGCGTCCTTCAACATCTCAAAATGATGAAAACATTGAAAAAATCTGCCAAAAAAGTGTTAAGACGTCTGCGAGAGGATGTGCAAAGGAAACGCCTGGAACTTTTCTCAATCAGGTGACTGATTCCTTCATCACGACAACACCTCCACACCACGGCCTTACGAGTGACCCAATATTTGGCCTCTCGGGGATGGCCTGTTGTTCCCCACCCTCCATATTCACCAGACCTAGCCCCGCGCGACATTTTCCTGTTTCCGAGAATGAAGAAAAATCTAAAAGGGAAGTGTTTTGATGATGTGGAGGCGGTAAAAAAGCTTCGCTAAGGGCACTGGATGAAATCAAGGTTGAAGAGTTCCAGAAATGCTTCAAACATTGGGGAAAAAGACTTGACAAGTGCATCGCATCTAATGGAGAGTACTTTGAAGGTGACTGAAGAAATTTTGTAAAAAAGTTAATAAATAAAGTTTTTATACAAAAAATCCGGTTTTTTTTGGTCCCCCCACGTATATTGACCACAACACATGCACTTTGCTGCACTCGACTGTAGATAACAGTGGTAAATATATTCTTGTGACTGTAGAACCTTGCATTATTAACATCTAAATCCATGGCAATAAAGATAATTGTTCCTGTCCCAAATTGTAAAAATACAATAACGAACTCCAACAAAGAATAAAAGCAGTTTTATTAAATACTTGCAAAGAACTAGTACAATTAGTAATTTTTAATACGATGTTAGTAATAAAGAAAACAGTTGTTCCCAAGACAACTGTTTTCTTTATTACTAACATCATATATTCAAAGTAATATCCATTTTCCTGAAGAAACTTTGTAATGCAGCTTTGAATGCCTGTTTGCGCACACTATATAATTCCTGGGAAGTGATTTAGGCACATACCTATCACACGAAGCAGTAAATATGCATGCTAATGACAGTTGCATTTGTTTATGTGCTTGCCTCTCTGGATTTTCTGGCTTTGATGTTTGTGTTTACTTGACAATGGCACAAGTTATCAAAAATTACCCCAGAGTAAATGTTGTTTAAGTTTTTATGTACTTTGTGATGGTACCATTTTTGATCCCATACAGGCATACACCATTGGACTTTATGGGTCCTGTGGGGACTTTTGTTAATCTGTCTGGTCTTCAATACATATATTCACCAACTTTTGGGCATGTATAATTCTCTTGTACCTTGTTTGGCTATAATTTGTCTTATCCTCTCATCGTTAATCACTCTCAAATTATGGGACTGGTTCACTTTAATTGTATCACCATGTATAATACAAATGCTCTTAACATATGCTCTCAGATATGATCAAAATAAGAATGGTGGTTAGTTATTTGAAAAAGTCTCAGTTAAATGGGAGATTATAAAAATATCTTTAAAGAATTTAACAGAAAACTTGTATATACTATTTGTTCATTTATAGACATATAATACTAGTCATTTTTTGTTGTCAGACATCTGAAATCATGATAGATAGTACTGTGATGATTTTGGGTTATCTGATAGTAAAAAAGTAGGAAACTGGTTTATTGCAGTAGGTTAATATGGCCGGATGGCTGAGCGGTCAAGGTGGCAGCCTACCGCTCTGGGAAACCCGGGCTTGAATCCAAACGGGTCGAAAAATCCCCAGGAATTTTTCGGGGGTGGTCCGTTCAGATATGTAGGGCTCCGCCCCTCACCAGTAGGTTAATATTTTATTTACTTATGATAATGATATGTTTATTATCTTGACCATTTTATATCATCTTGTCCTAGGAATTATAAAAGGAAAAAAAATTTGATATTCTGAAAATTGATGAACTAGAAGTGTTAAGAGGTTTTCTACAGCTTTTTTCAATGTTTATAATTTGAATTGAATTTAAAACAACATAATCACATGAAGCCAAAGTGAGAAAATGTTTTGTACTCTCTGAATGTTTTTAATAATAATCCTCTTCAAAAGTTCAAAGCCTATAAATTGCATAATTACACATATTTTTGTTTTTCTTATTTTCTAATATAATAATGTTTGGAAGATGTGAAGATTATAAAATTTGAGAGATAGTGATAGTTCAGTGAAAAGATTATTAACATTTGAATACACAGTTTGCAACAAACTATTAAACTGAAAACTTAAATCTAAGAACAATAACAAATATTACAAATAAAAAATATGAATATTTTTTAATTATTTTCTTTCTCTTATGCATGTTAAATATGCAAGTCTTATAATAATCTTATAAATTTAAACATTCAGATATAATAGAAAATTTTTTTCATATTGGTTTTGTATTTATACTGTTTTTCCTATTGTATTGATACTATTTATACTATATTCCTTTAAATCATAAATGATAGGTATTAATTTGGTTTTCAAAATTTTTTGCATTAAAAATTTCTTACAAGCTAGAAAATATTTTGACTGTTTTATTGACATGTAAAAAAATAAATACTGAGTTGATATAATTACACTATAAAAAAGTAACAGTTTTTTGTATTGAAGATATTGTTATAATACATCTAATATTAATTAATTTATTAATAATTGTATTCATAATGAGTGTTAAAACTCAATGAGTAATAAAAAAGAAATTCTATATTCTCCAAAAACATGATTTAAATATTGTTTAACTGATTTATGTGTGTTCAACTTTTTTAAGCATCGAGTAATTTAGAAATTTTATCAAAGGAAAATAATTTTTGTAACAATACTATATTTAATGTTAATGCCAATTTTAAACTTTGAAAAATATAAAATGATTTTTAAATTATTTTTTTGAATTATAAAATAGGTTATAGCAAGATATATCATTTTTTTAATTTACAGACATGTTTTCAGGCATGAAAGAACAGTATTATCCTTGGGAACCCAGCAGTTTTGAAATGGATTTATTAAGAAGGAATCCACGTCGAAAAAGAATTACTGATAATTCTTATATAGGTGATCTATCTAACATTTTAATATGAAATGAAATTAGTTTGAATACACTTTTCGATAACTTTTAAAACTTAATTCATTTTAAAATGCTAACATCAATAATGTTAGAAAAAATTCAAAAGATATTTTCTTAAATTTGATGATAAAATTCCAAGAGTGAAATTTTAAAGGTTTTGGTGGAAATAAATTAAATCTTAGTTTTTTAATGTAGTTTATTTTGAAAGAAATAATTATCTTCTTGTGCAAAGTAATTCTTACTAGATAAAATTTAAGAGCACTATCTATTGACATTAATAAGCCGTAATAAGGAAGACACAAAAAAAACAAATATTAATGTTTAAAATTTGTTTTCTCTACACCTGAAGATATGACATTCTATAAATGTAAAAAGTACTTGCATGGTTTTTTTCTATTTCACTTATTAAAGTTTATTAATGCCAGCAGACAGTGCTCTTAAATTTTATCTGATAAGAGTTTATTTTATAAATTGGATTTAATATACCTGAAAATATTGATTATTAACAACTTTATTAGAAATTTTTATATAAAAAATCATACAACAATTTTTTATTATTAATTGTTAATAATTTTAGAATGTATCTCTAAAAGGAATTTTTCACAAAATTTATTTGTATTTTTTTAAATATATGGAAATTATATACTTAGTATATACTAGGAACATATTTCCATTATGTTTCATTAGAAATAAAATAATTTTTTATATGATTTTACACCTAATGGTAAGAGAGGTTTTATCACAAATTCCTAATAGTATTGAATATTGTAAATATAAAATAAAGAATATTTAAATAATAAAAATCTGAATTATTTTATTATAATTTAGTTCATATCGTCATCAATATTAGAATATTTATTCCATATTTTTCATAAAGAAATAAGTTTTTTTTAAAAAAAAAAGTAATATTTTAGATAAACTATAATTGACTTATAGTTTCTTAGAAATATAGTGTACATGAAGAGTCGGTATAATGCATAATATATAGCACATATTTCATTATCTAATTATTTTAAATAATTTTTCTCTTGTTCTATCATTACTATGTTATTTTACAATAAATTGTTTTTATTTTTTATCAGTATTAATATAGTATATTAATCCACTATATCTGAAAACTTGTACAAGTATATTGATGCTACCAAATATCTTATGACAAAATAACATTGTCTCAAGAAGAGTTGACAGTTGTATATCTCTACCCCACATTTTGTAATAGTCAAACTAATTTAGTTATTATAGTAAAATTATTACCTAAGTATATGGTATAATATGAAAAACACCATTATGTATTTAATTTGAAAACAGATATAGGCAAGGAGCAGGTTGACTATATTTCTAAAATTGCAATGCAGACATAAAAATGAATGTATCAAACTTTAATTCCCTCATTATGTAACTTTAATTCAAATCAAATACCATTTGATTTTTATTATAAGTAATACATTACCAATAATCATAATAAAAAAAAGAGAGAGAAATCTATACTGTTTTTATATCTATATACTGTTATATCTATATTGTTTTTTGAAAGGAAAATGAAATTGCATAAATATTTGTTGTAAGCAATACTAATTGCATCAAAATTATGTAACTGTCAAACAATAAAAAGTTTCATATATACAGTAGAGCATTGATTATCTGACCCCCAATCAACCGTCACATCAGTTAACCGACCACGTTCTAGTCGGCAAATTCAAATGTCCGCTAGTGATGTGGCGTTATAATATTTGGCTATGTCTTGGCTACTTTAATATTATTTTTGTTAAATTTTTGCATGTTTTAACTGGCAACACTGACTCAAACATGAAAGGGAAGTCAGTATTTAAACGAGGCTTAATTTTCTAATTATGAGTGGTTGTTTGTTTTGTGAGCAATAAAATAATTTTAAAATAATTTTTAACGATACAATAGCGACGATTATTATTTTTTTAAAAAAAATTGTTAGGCTTAACATCAATGAAAATTCAACGCGAAGTAGGTTAATAGCGATATACTAATATACTAATTACATGGGATATACTATACTAATAATGCATTTTTTCATACTTTTTGGTTATCTGTTTTTTCAGTTATCCGATCAATCCCAATTGAGTTGGATAATCGATGCTCTACTGTATGTTCAAATTACATTAATATACAGTACAGGGGTTGAATATGATAAGAGTAGTCAATTTTGGATATTTTCTATAATTAATACAATCTTGGATTCCACCATTGATTGTGTGCTATATGCCTCCCATGTAACCAAACAATGGCTCTGCACTTCAGTTTCCATAGGAATACTGGTCCACACTGACTGAAACTTTCTAATGTCCATCAACATTTTTAGATCTTTATTTTCCATGCTCTTCCTTCAACAAATCAAATCCACAGAGGCATCTGGGGTCTTCACAGATATGGACAGAAATGGAATCATCTTGATTCCAGTCTCAACATCCTTCCAGTCATAATAGACCATTGATGACTTAGCTGTGTGGCTGGAAGTCTTGTCCTTATGGATTCAGACCTTTGAAGTGTCATTACCATACAGATGGGGATCTCTTCTTTGTACAGCTGTTCCAACATAAATGATATTTTCTTCTGGAAGTATGCTTTATCTTTGTCGTGGTATCCACTTATTTGAGTTACAACTTTCCACAAGCACAATAGCCAACCACTATAATAAACCCTTTTCAGAGCTTTTCCTTACTCTGTAGGACATAACCTATTGCCATTTGTCATTAGGAAGGAAATTTTCATACAACTTTTGGGCATTTGTGAAATTGTTCTTGGATGTAGTGTGCAATAAGCTTGTGTCCAAGTGCTTTGTGCCTGCATTGCATCTGCAGATTATTGTAAATGATATTTCCTAAAATACTTTGGGATATATCCAACTGTTGAACAAGATGGCTTTATGTTTGTGTGTGTGTTCATGTTCATTGTTTTCTTTCCGAACTACATTTGCAACAATTACCTGTGTACAAGATGGCTAAGATTTGTTTTGATGGACCTTTGGCCTCCCACATGAATCTGATGGTTGTTTCTTACAGTTATGGATTACCTTCCCTACATTTGCTTTGCTGGAACTCAGTTAAAAAGAGTGTAAAGAGCAGGGTCTATTATGGAATGGCTAAAGTTGGTGTCAGAAAGGCCACATATATATCCTTCCAAAAATGTAGTAAATTTTATTAACATTTTATTATTATATATGCTGCTAAGTATGCTCTATTATAGAGGAGTGTCAGATGGTTATGTAAAGGTCATGTGGCTTGTGGTGGTCATGTAGTTCCAATATGCTACTTAACTAAATGTATCGTAATTAACCCTGTTTATATAGCAGATGAAATAGGACTTTTCTTTTTAGAAGGATTTAGTTCAAATCCTTTAGCTACTTTATATATTTTATAAGTTATTTAGCTATTTAATATATTGTGTAAGTTATTTAGTTCAATATTATTTTAAAAGAAAGGTTAGTTGCTGTTTTTATTGCAATATTATTTTTTAATTCATTAAACTTTTCAAAATCTTTATTGGCAAACTTATTTATTAATTGAAATGTTTCAGCTTACAGCTGAAACATTTCAATTAATAAATAAGTTTTAAAAAGAAGTAGAATCTAATGTAGAATAGAAGAAATAAATAAATAAGAAAAAAGAAGTAGAATCTAATGTAGAATAGAAGAAATAAATAAATAAGAAAAAAGAAGTAGAATCTAATGTAGAATAGAATACATAGAATCAGAAGTCATGGCAGTGACTTCCCATCGAGTAAAAAATGCACTGACTGACTATATATATAGGAATCAGAGTTGCTGATTTTTGGGGATCAATTTCTCTGCTCCCCAAATACCTGTAGTAATTCCAAATATCTCATTTGAAAGAAAATTGTTTTCTTAGGTAGTGTGCAAACTTTCAATATTTTCTATAATGCGGTTGCCAAAATATAAGCAATTGAAAAGTGCAAAAATCACCAAAAAAAAAAAGCTGTATTTTTTTTTCTTCTTTTTCTTCATCCGACACGGCAGACACTTGTATAGAAAAACTACCGGGTCTAGAAAGCTCAAATTTTAAACTTAAGCCTTTCTTGTTACCAGTGGGTGTTTGCAAAATTTAGAGTCAATAAGTCAAAGTTCATGGGAGTTTCCCATAGAGCTAATTCAGTTTTATGGCTTAATTTTATGCTTATAAAGATAAAATTGCATGAAAACAAATGAATTTTATTCAAAATGTTACTCAGAATTACGAAAGCTCAAATTTATGCCAATTAAAACTTTTTAAATTATTTTTTAAATGGCATATTGAAAGCATCAGTCAGCAGTGCATTTGATTGGTAGCATTTTTGTCAGTAACATGTTTGGTTGGTATCGATCAAAATGAATATTGAAAGAGTGTATTTGGCATTGCATTTGGTTAGTGCCACATTCAGTTGCTGAGTGCCTGTTGAATTGTAAATCATTGTCTTATGTCTTGATGTAACAATACAATTATTAAACAAAAACAATTGATATCCAAACAAAAACATCTGAGATGTAAAAAAATTATGCCAAGTAAAAATTTATGACAATTTAGACAACAGTCAGAATTTTTCTTAGGAGTGTTTCTTTGGTAAAGATAAGCTTGGCACTTGGAAGCAAAATATAGAAACAATAATACAGGTAAAAAAGTTGTGGGTAGTTTCCAAGTGCCAAGCTTAGTTTTACCAAAGAAAAACTCCTAAGAAAAATTGAGTGTTGTCTAAATTGTCATAAATTTTTACTTGGCATAATTTTTTTATATCTCAGATGTTTTGTTTGGATTTCAATTTAACATGTAGTTACTTGTTTTTGAATATATAAAAGTCAATGAAATCTGTTCTAGTCTTATGTGTAACCTTGGTGTTTTGAGTAACTATAGCAATAAACTTTTCAAAATTCATATTTTCATATTTTTTATTTTGTTTGATATTCTGTTACAGTTTAGTGAATTGAATGCTTTGCTCTTTTCCCAAACACAATCATATTAACACA